CCCTTGGAAAGACTCCCTCACAGTTCGCTTGGTCATCTCTTGCATGAAGAGCTGCAATGGTGGCCCCAGCCATGGGGATGGGACTGGCCAGAGGTCATCTAGAGAGCTGGCTGCCTCAGCTGTGGGCTGGGAACCACACGAGGGAGGAAACTCAGGCTAATGCGCAAACTTGACAGATAGGCAGATAGTAGATCTTTTCCCGTTATCTTTAATGTGAAATGTTGGCTAACGAACCAACTCATAGCCAAGTCATAGCGATCCTGGGTAGGGTTTCTGAGGAGTGGCTGGTGAGTTTGAACTGTCGACCTAGAGGCCCAGTGTTGATCCTACAGTGCCACCCCAGGACTCCAGTCGGTAAGTGAGGAGTTGGCAAATCTCAATACCTGCCGCTGCTTCCAGCCCCCATTTTGGCCCCTGAGTAGACCGAGAACCAGGCCTCAGCCCTCTGAGGAGGCGTGACTGCTTAGGACCCTCTTACTGAGGCAGCAGTGCGTTGTTGGTGCTGTCGGTGGACTCGCAGCTTGCTGGGCCCCTGCTCAGCTGCCCCGTCCTGAAGGATCTAACAGTAGAGGCTTTGCCACTTCCTTTCCAGCTGTCTGGTGTGTAAGGGGTGCTTCCTGGATTGATCTCTCTTCATTTTAGACACCGTATAAACCAGGTAGCCTGACATGAATGATTTTAAAAGACGAAGCCCCACAGGCACCTGGATGGTCTGTGTAAGCATTTTCTTGAAACTCAGGGACGGGGTCACGTGTGGTACCACGATACTTTGACAGACCTGGCCGAAGTCCCACCAGGCCGTAGCAGTCGTTTGAAGCAATGATAGTAAGAAGTCACGGTTGTGGCTTGATTTACATTCATGGCATTTTAAAAAGAGATTGTTTTGTGATAACAGAAGTCATGTTTTCTTCTGTGAAACATGAAAAATTCAGATACAAATAAGGTTATGGAACCAAGTCTTTAGTTTCAGTCAAATTCATCTGTGTGTTCTCTGCATTTATTGTACGTAGCTGAAATAATGCAGTGGCAAATATCTGTTGTTTTTCTAGACTCTCCTTTAAAGATAGGTTCATAACTGCTAGGTCAATGGAAGTGAACATTTTTAAACTTCTTAATAGATATTACCAAATTCTCTTCCAGAAAGGCTTTTTCCTTCCCAGTATTATGACGTCTCTGTATAATTGAGTTCGTTATGATAATTTGGTAAGCAAAAAATACTCATTCCTCTTACCTTTAAAAAAAAAAAGGTTCTTATATGTGGAACTTTGTTAATACATTTGTGCACCGAAGCTGACTTTCCCAGGCCTCTGGGGGCATCCTGACAGCCCCTGTGACCGGGGCACCAGAAGTCGTCTTGGCAGGTCATACTGTAGTTACTGGTCTGTACATGATATCAGCTGACATGTGACACTGTGGAGTGGGGCGTGGCAGGCCCGGGCATCTCGGAATGGATCAGAAAGAGAGGCAGTTGAGGACAGGAGACTGGAAGACTGAGGTGGGTTGGATATGGCCAACTCAGCCCATCAAGAGGCCCAGAGGGAACGAGTGACGTGCCTAGATGGATTTGTGGAATTGGTGCCGGAGTTGACTCCAGAAGTCACCTGGCCTCCCTGCTCCCCAGAACTCTCCCACTCTGCAAAGCCTCTTGCAGACAAGTAGGATTGGAGACCCCCCTCTGTGTCAGGAAGAGCACCCACACCCTTCTGTATTTTGCACATTTTGGAAGAGGGTCCTGCAACTTATAAAAGATAAGAAGACCAAAAAAAAAAAAAAAAAGATTAGAAGACCACTTAGGCCAAAATCCCAGGGTCAGCGGGCACATGGGAGACGCGGCAGAGGCTTCGTTCACCAGGTACCCTATGTTCGTGCAGTGCTCAGTGTCCCTGGGGAGGGGTCCCACAGGCGCTTCGCAGGTCCTGGCAGAGGGAGGCAGAGGGGACAAGGTAGGCTGTGAAGGGTTATAGGTGCCTTTGTGGCGCAGTGGGTTAAGCACTTTCCTGCTAACCACAAGGCCAGTAGTTCAAACCCACCAGTCACTCCACAGGAGAAAGATGAGGCTGTCTGCTCCCGTGAAGACTGAAGTCCTGGAAACCGTATCGAGCAGTTCCCTCCTGTCGCTATCACTTGGAATCAACTCAGTGGCAGTTGGTTTTCATGGATTTGGGTGTCTTACCAGTTGGTGATTGTAAATGGTTTGCCACCACCTCTGAGGCTCAGCACCAACTTAAAATCGGGCTCATCATCCAGAGGCCACCAGCTGTAGCGGGATCCGTTTGGGTGAGCTTGGGCACTGGAGGCTGGCAATTCCTAGGAGTCTTCTGCCAGCTGAGACCTCATTCCTCTGAGGAGAGAAAGGTTCTGGCATAGGTGAAAACGCTCAGCATTGATCTCGGGCCTGAGAACCACGGTGCTTGTTACCTGGTCTGCACCTGAATAGGTTGAGAGGACCCCGGGGACAGCTGGCCACAGGTGATGACTTCTTATTTTAGTTCCTTGGTCTGATCATAAGTGACTTGACGGTTGTAGAACCTATAAAAGCAGTGCTACCCGTAACCCCATATCCCGTTACCATTTCAGTGTCCTTTTAGCTTTGTGATCTCCTGTGACATGAGGCTGAAAGAACATGGGCTTTTTGATGTTTTGTCAGACTGCTGCCTGACCTCAGGCAAATACTTGGTATTTTAGGGCCTTCGTTCCCTCAGTTGTAAAACAGGAATGTTGCTGTATGCTGTCCAATCAGTTCTGACTCATCGCGACCCTTACATACGGTTTCTTAGGCTTTAAATCTTGATGGGAGCAGAAAGCTTTATCTTTCTCCTGTGGAGCAGCCAGTAGATTTGAACTGCTGACCTTGCCATTGACAGCCTAATACATAACCCAGTGTGCCTCTAGAGTTCCAAAACAGGGATGATAGCCCCAACCTTTCAGGGCGGTCGTGAAGGGTTGAGCGGTGGCTGGCAAAAGCATCCAGTAGAGTGCCTGCTTCTCAGTAAAGGGAACACCCCAGTATAGTTCCACACTCACGTAACTTCTCCTCAGCATGGTCCTCCTCTGTGTCAGCATTTTGATTTTGTCATTACAGGCCACATGGGACTTCTTTACGCTTTGCATTCCTGTATTACAAGGTGTTTACGTTGCCTCCAACTGAGACTTCCCTCAGCCAGTAGTAACAATTAATAAAAGGTTATTGTGATAAAATACATATAACTAAACACCTACTACTTTAACCTTTAAAAACATTTTATTGTGGTAAAACAAAACGTGCGATTTTACCCACTTTTAATAAGTGTGATTTGGGCCCCCTCAAGTACATCATAGACTGTGTATGTCATTTCGTCCATTCCAAGAGTTTTTTGTCCCACCCAGCAGGAACTCCTATGCTCTTAAGCAGCAGCTCCCAGCCCCTGGTGGTAACTCTGCATTTACCTGTTCTAGATGCTTCAGGATCATACAATATTTGTCCTTTTGTGCCTAACTTAACTTGGCACAGTATTTTCAAGGTTCACTCATGTCGTAGCATGTATCAGAACTTCATTTCTCTTTATGGTTGGATAATATTCCATGTTATTGCGCAGACCACAGTATCTTTGCCCCACACTGTGTTTATGCATTCATGCGATGGTGAACACTCCAGTTGTCTCCACCTTTTGGCTCTTGTGAACAGTGCTGCAGTGAACATTGGTGTGGAAGGTTCTGGTTGGGTCTCTGCTTCCAAGCCTGGGGTAGAGTGGAACTGCTGGCGTATGTGCTTCTTCTGTGTCGAGCTCTTTGAGAACCCCCACACTGTTTCCCACAGCTGCTGTGCCATGGTTTGTACCCCCTCCCTCCCAGCAGGGCACCTGTGTTTCAGTTTTGCCACATCCTTCCCAACACTTATTGCTTTCAGGTTTCTGACAATAGCCATCCTAGTGTGTGCGAAGTGGCATTTCATTGTGGTTTTGTGATGTGCATCTCCAAACCATGAGTCCCAATGGACTGCAGGGCCTGAGATTAGTGATGAGGCGCCCTGTGGCACAGTGATTAAGCACTGAACTGGGAACTGAGAAGTGGGTGGTTCAAACCCACCCGTTATTCCATGGGAGAAGACCTGGTGACCTTCTGTAAAGGTGACAGCTTAGGAAACACCCTTAGAAGCAGTTGTCCTCTGTCCTTACAGGTTCATACCACAAGACTAGCAACAAGCTTTTCCATAATTTCAGATGGAAAATACCCACGTAGCCTCATGTTTGTTTTTGACGACTTGATGTGGCTAGACATAGCATACTGAGAGTGTAGGACTGGGTCTGAATGGGGACAGCGGATCATCTCTGGGTCCCCAGGACCCCAACAGGGCTTGGTCTGCATCCCTGTAAAAGCTGTAGCTGAGGTTCTTAGCTGTGCTTCTGCAGCTGTTCTGCGAGCGGATCCATCTACGGTTGTATGGACGTGTTGTAACTCTCCACGTGTGCTGGTCATGTAGGAGGCCCCACCTGCCTGTAGGATGAATGGCAGCTGCAGCAGCCTTCAAGTCTGGGCTCGGGAGTAATTGGCTTTGAAACCAGCCCTGTGATTTGTACCTGGATGTGGTTAGAGAGATTGCTAATTGCTGGCGCTGAGCTGAGCTGTCCAGCCATCCCAGGGGCATCCCAGGTCTAATCCTCTGCGGCTGGGTCTGACGGTACAGGCCTGGCACCATGGTGTTTACTGCAGGCCTGACTCATGTGCTAGCTTCTCATGCTGTGTGCAGTCCAGGACCACGCTTTACCACTGTTCCATAGTGTGAAGGGCGAAGGAAAAGAAGGAGAGACCAAGATTTTTTGAATGTCTGCCATACGCCTGGCGCTGTGTTGCGCCGAGTGCTTTCTATATGTTGTTAAATACGTGCATTCGGTTCTGACTCATAGCGTCTCTTAATTCCCATGAAAACAGTTTAGGAGAGATGTTGCTACCTCCTCCCTTCTTTCTTTTTGTCTTTTTAAATGGAAGAACGCAGACCTGGAGTGCTAAGTTATGCCAGCAAGATGACCCGGTGAGTAAGCAGCAGCGAAGGTGCCGGAGCCCATATCTGCTCCCTTTCCTGTGCTACCCCAGAAGTCCCTGGGCGGTGCAAACGGTTATGCGCTCAACGACTAGCCTGGGGGCACCTTGGCAGACAGGCCTTGGCTGTCTGCTCCTGCAAGGGCACAGCCTTGAAAACCCTGTGCAGCAGTTCTCCTCGGCACACATGGGGTTGGAGGACTTGAGGCATCTCATAACCACCGCCATGTTCCAGCGCATTCTCCCTTTTGGGGTGGGGACGCTGGCTTCCTTACTGCAGTATGCCAGTGAGGGCAGTGGAAAGGGGGAGCCCGGAGCCCCGGCCTTCTTATGCGCCTTGTGATCAAAGCAAGTCACTCCAGCTGCCTGGGTCTCTTTCCATTCATGGGAAGTGAGGATTGAACTTAATGTGTGCCCACAGGGAGTTGTGGGGTGCCGAGGACCACATGATGACCTTGTTCTAACAACTGCAGGTTCTTAGAGTTTGGGAGGCAGCCTTCTCTCCTTCCTCCTTCCAGAGGAACCCTGGCTAAAGTTCAGGCTGAGCTGTCCTCTCCAGGAAAAGGGACGTTAGAGCCAGATGGGTCTCAGTTTGCTGCTGTTGGATAGCATGTGTGTGGCCTTGAATAAGTCTTAAGTCACTGGGCCTCCTTGGGACCTGTCAGCCCATTAGCTTTCCGTCTGTTGGTCATTTTTCCTCTCCCATTCTGAGCAGGTGGTCTGGGGAGACCGCCGGCACGAGAAACTCTCTTTTCTGTTACTACTGCTGCAGGCCTGTAACAAAATCATCCAGATTGACTCAGCCAGGTTTTAATCCACCGTGCCTTCAGGGCTCCTAAGCGCCCTGTATATGAGTTCAAGTGTTGGGCTGCTCACCGAAAGGTTGGTAGTTCCAGCCCACCAGCCACTGCATGGGAGAACTATTTGGTGGTCCGCTTCTCTAAAGACTCAGTCTTGGAAACCCAGGGGAGCTGGAATCCACCGATAGCAGTGCGTTTGGTTTGGGGTTTTTTCTAGAACACCTACCACAGGCCAAGTCCTCGACACATGCTAGAGATACAGCTGTGAACAGACTCCTGGGCTGCTGCCCTCGGGGTCCTTTCCGAAAGCTGTGGGCCGGTCATTGGACCCACACACATGTATACTTGTGACGGACCTGGTGTGTGCAGGGTGAGGTGAGGCCATGTGGTGGGGGCCCAGCCTCGGTCAGAGTGGGGCTGGAATGGCAGAAAGAGTCTCAGACGACCCTTCATGGCTAGTGACCCTTCCAGGGGCAGCCTGGAGACAGGGTAAGAGCCAGAATATGTGGTCCAAGCCCCAGTTTTTCCATTGACACCCCCACCCCTGGATTTCATTAAACCCCTTGAACCACATTTCTGAGCCACGTTTTTCTCATCTGTAACATCAAATCCAGTTGCTAACAAGTTGATTTTGATTTCTCTCAAGAGCTGATGTTTTAGAAGTTGGTCGCCAGGCCTTTCTTCTGAGGTGCCTCTGGTGGACTGGAACCTCTAACCTTGTGGTTAGTAGCCAAGTTTCCATTAGTAACATGCTGTTGTTAGGTAACACCGAGTGTGCTCTGACACGTAGTGACCCCATGTAGAACAGAAGGAAGCACTGCCTGGTCCTGTGCCGTCCTCACGATTGTTTCTATGTTTGAGCCCATTGGTCCAGTCCATCTTGTTGATGATCTTTTCTGCTGACCCTCTACCAGGGGACTGGTTCCTCCTGATAACATGTCCAAAGTATTGGAGATGGGGTACATTCTGACTGTACTTTCAACACAGATTTGTTCTTAAGGCAATTCATGGGGAGTGATAATACCAGGGGACTTCAAAAAGTTTGTGGAAAAATTCCTTTATCTCTCTTTTTTTTAAGTTTTTATTGTGAACTAAGTGATAGTTTACATGGGAGAACATTGGTTTTACACCATCGTTTCATTGCAGTGATTGCAATCATCATTCAACAATATTCCATTCCCTCTGGGGTTTTATTTGGGGTGGGGAGGAATGTACACAAAAACACTCAGGAATTTATAATAATTTAAGCAACCAAAGGATACATTCTGCAAACCTGCCTGCTGATCACCAGTACCCAGTCCCTCTTTATCCATGAGTCCAGAGTCCTCAGTCCTTTATCTTTTAATTCCATTTTCCCACAAACTTTTAGAAGCCCTCTTGAATGTATCTCATAAGCCAGCATTCTTTAAAAAGTCCTCACACAGATCTAAGGGACCAACATAGCTTCATTCCACAGAAGATTTCGGATGTGACTCATAACAGCAGACATAGTGTAGATGCATAGACTGAGTAGTTAGGTTGAAGGGAAATTACTGGGAGAAGATCAAAGCTGGGCTATTGAGTTAGCCCCTAACTCTACTACAGCTTTCCAAACGTCTGTGAGGTGGGTGGGCTGCATGGTGGGCTCAGAGTTCTTCCTGGCCTCCAGAGCAAATGAACTGGGTCAGAAACTTGATTCTTGACGCCCTCAAGTAATAGGGGAATGATGAAAATCATCATTATTACCTGTAGGGTTTATTTATAATCAAGGTAACCCAAGGAATTTGATCTTTGCCCTTGGTTCGTGAGTGAGAAGCCGTGAAACCTTGGACTTTCTGCAGTGATGGAGCAGCTGTGATAAAGGTTTGTGTTTGATGCTGTGTAGGGCTAGCCTAGCCAGAAAGACCTGTCATTGTCTGGTGATAGCAGCCTAGTCTCGTGGGTGGGGTAGATCCAATGAGTCGTGCCTGGGTAATGCACTGGAATGGCTCTGGACACAGACGCTCCGTGGACTCCCTCATTGACTGTATACGTTGATGTACATGGCAGGGTGGTGGGTCTCTTTCTGGGACTAGAAGCTCCACATTGGGAACCCTCCCAGACCTCACCCTTTAATGTTATTTTTGCAGTAGGGAAACTAATTACAAAGTAGGGGGCTCTCCTGGGTTCTGTAGGTGGGTCTAGCAAACCATCAAACCTGAGGGAATATTTGAGCCAGCAGGCCATTAGTTGGGGGAGGGCTGTCTGGGGACCCTGAGCTTTTATGGCTGGCATCCTGAGGGGTGGTGGGAAACTTCAAATGTGTAACCAGCACATCAGAAGTGAGGGTGTCTTTGGAACCCCTAAACTTGGAGCTGGTGTCTGAAATCTGAAGGAACTTCCTTTGAGGTTACGCTCTGATGTGGGATCAGGAAGAAGTGCTGCCCTTGTGTGGTTGGAGCCATCCAGGCTCAGAGCTGAAGTGACTGGTGTCCTTCCGCTGGTGTCCGACTGAGAAGTGGAACACATACCTTGACTGCCGATGACAGATGTCAACGCTGACTCTGAGGTGCTCTTGTACCCGTTTTGTTGTCCACAGGAGACACTGGGCAATGAACCCGAGGCCGCAGCTCACACTGGTCTGAAGCTGTGTGGGAAAGCTGAGAGAGTTCTCGGGAAAGATGGCCATGGCCCCAAGCCCTTCCCTGGCTCAGCCGTACACCAGCCCCGTAGCCGTGGCCGTGTGGGAATGGCAAGACGAGCTGGGCACCTGGCACCCCTACAGCGCTACCGTCTGCAGCTATATCGAACAGCAGTTTGTCCAGCAGAAGGGCCAGCGCTTCGGCCTGGGGAGCCTGGCCCACAGCATTCCCTTAGGCCAAGCTGACCCCTCTCTGGCTCCTTACATCATCGATCTCCCCAGCTGGACCCAGTTCCGCCAGGACACTGGTAAGACCCTTCTTTATTGTGACTACTTTAGTCGGGGTACTGTGCCAGGTGTTGGGGATCAGGGTTAAGGAAGTCCCCTGAAATACACAGGGGAGTGGGAGGAGGGTACCGGGGATGCGGCCCCACAGTGTGGGATGAGCCTCTTAAAGAAGAGGGTATTGGGCGCACAGCCCAGACCCCACCTCAGCCCCTGGGAGGTATCCCGTTTTGTTGACTTCATGTACAGACTTGAGGCTTTGGTGGCTGGGCAGTCTGTCATGGAGGGGGTGTTCCGCTAGTCTTGGGGGCCCTGGTGATGAGTTGGGGTTCCACTGCTCAGTCACTGTGGCCTGGGCAGAGGACTTCACTCCTGTGTCCAGTCATGATGGCTTTTGCACTTTTTCTCAGTTCCAGTGAGTTTTCATGAACATTCCTGGAGTCCTGGTGTGGTGCTGTAGGAAAAGCACTGCAAGGTTGGTGGTTCAAACCCACCAGTCACTGGGGTTTTGGTGATGGGGCTCTGCTCAGTCCTGCTAATCCAGAGGTGTTCTTTTCCTTCCCTGATTCTACCCCAGGGCCATTTGGCACTACTGGGGCCATTTTTGATCCTCTTGAATTGGTGGGAGGAGAGCTACTGGCATTAATGGATAGAGACAGGGATGGTTCTCCTAAACATCCTGCAGTGCACAGGCCCGCCCCCACTGCAAAGAATGGTCTGGCCCATTACTCAGACAGCACTAGGCTTGGGAACCCCAGTCTGCTCCCTGTCAGTAGCATTCTAGAGTTTTTCTTTCAGCTGTAGCCCTGATCTGTGTGATGCAGGTAAAAGCCCTTATTGGGTTTCATAGTGTTGGCAGGCAACTGAACGGCAGCAGATTACAACAGAGAATAACACCAATTGTGCATTGATGGCGTTGGGTAACTATAGGTACTAAGGAGGAAAGAACTAATGGGGGAAGGGGAGGTCCTACAGAGCATTTCCCTCAAGAACAGGACTTCATACGGAAGTGGGGGCCATGGGCAGGTTTGGGGCCGAGGAGCACTGTGACCTGACTCTGGCCTTCAGAGTGTCCATCTGGCTGCCGTGAAGAAAGGGGTGGGGAGAAGGCCAGGGCTAAAGTCTGAGACCAGCCTAGAAGGTAATTCGAAAAACCCATCTCCGGTACGTGTGACTTGAAACGTGGTCCAGGTGGTTTTCTTGTTCTTCCTCTAGAGGTTTGTTTTGCTAAGACCTTAATAAACCATCGGTAGCGTGTTTCCCTGTAGTTGTGACTTGAGAAGTCACAGAGATGGTATAGCTAGATAAGAGAATTGCAGAACAACAAATCAATTGTACAGCAAGTTAAGCTGTGACATAATACAGAGTCCTGGTGTGGCGCTGTAGGATCAGCACTGGACTGCTAGCCGCAAGGCCAGTGGTTCAAACCCACCAGCTGCTCCTAGGAAACCCCATGCAGGGTAGCTGTGAGTGAGAACAGAATTGGTGGCACTTAACAGCAATCACAGAGTCCTGGTGTGGCCCTGTGGGTTAATGCGCTGGACTGCGAAGGTTGGTGGGTCAAGCTTACCAGCTGCTCTTCGGAAACCCTATAGAGGGTCGCTGTGAGTTGGAACTGACTTGACGGCACTTAACAACAACCACAACCACATCGAGCAATGCTGGGAAATCATGGACAGTGTTCTTCATGATGAAGGGCCAGAAAGTGGGAATCAACGTAAGAATTGTCTGTGCTTTGCTCTTGGTGGGTGATTTCATTTTCTTTAAACATTTTTGTTGCTTTTTAAATGAGTAGCTGTAATGGTCATCAGAATCCTGGTGTGGTGCTGTAGGATAAAGCACTGGACTGAAAGGTCAGTTTGAACCGCAAGGTCTGTGGTTCAAACACACCAGTTGCTCCCTGAAAACCCTAGCGTAGGTGTGAATCAGAACTGACTCATCTCAACGGCACTTAACATAACTTTTGTTGAATTTTTTTTTTTTAATGTTTTATTTATTGTGAATTATGTGATAGTTTACATGGGAAAACATTAGCTTTACATTCATCCTATCGTATATCGTTTCATTGCCATGGTTACAATCCCTTCCATCCATCATCAACCAACCAAAAGGTATACACTATAAGCCTGCCCCCTGGTCGTCAGCACACAGCCCCTCTCCCTCTCTGGGTCTGAAGTCCCCAGCTGCTCCATCTCTTCACACCATAGTCTCTGCCTCCATCTCTGGCGTCACAGCTTCTCTTTGTAGGGTCTCGCACTCCGCTCTTCTCCCTTGATGGTTCCAGGGACCTCGGCTCCTAGACTGCATAGTCAGTCACTCCCCTCCTTTTGCTGCAAAACGTCCACCTTTACATTTCCAACCCTCCCAGTCAGACCTGATAACATTTCACCATTGGGCCTATCCCCATCTCCTTTCATCAGCCCCACCCAGACAGATTGGATATTGCTCACTGGAGATTCTACCTTCCTCCAGGCCCTCTGGATCTAGTCTCCCTCTTGAAAGCTTGTAAGCCAGTCACTTCTTGCCTTTGTAGCCCCCACATCTCTGGTAGCCAGTGTCCAATTTGCCCATCCCTGTCTACTCTGTGTGTGGAGGGGGTGAGAATGATCCTTACTATAAAGATTTCTTCCCTCTTTTGAGCTACTGCTTCCATAGTTGTAGGTCAAGTTCATCAAATTATATCGGATGACTCTGTTTTTTCCTCTTCTTTCTTCTTATAGTTGAGCTCTGATCATCCAGTCATTGAAGCCAGGTCAAGTGGGTATTATCTGCAAATGTGGGTGTTGTTATGCATATGCCCTCTCTTCTTATCAGCTGGACACTTCACTCTCCACTCTAGTCCTCTGTGGCTATGTCACTGACTCTGGGCCCAAGACTCCCCAGGTCTTGCCACACTGCTGGCCAAGCAGGTCTCCAGCCGGGTTCACAGGAGTCTGTTGAACGTTGTGGGGCTTAGCTCACTCTTGTTGGATTTTGAAAAGCCCCCTGAGTCTCAGCCATAGTGGTCCTTGAACCTAAGCTGCCCACACACCCCTCTCCTGTCCAAGAGTGTGGACACTCCTGGGCCATTGTCCTCCTTTGGGCCATGGTTCAAGCCCTTGAGGGAGTTCTCCATCCTTGACCCCGGTCACTGGCTCTTAGTGGGGTCACACTTGTCCATTTTGTTTGTAGAGTGTGTACGTGCTGTTTGTTCTGGGGGCTCTGGTGCATCAGTGTCTTACCTGTCACTCTCCTTTCAAACAGGCACCATGCGGGCTGTTCGCAGACACCTGCTCCCCCAGCATTCAGCTGTGGGCCGGGGCATTGTCTGGGAGTGGCTGAGTGACGACGGCTCCTGGACCGCCTATGAAGCCAGCGTCTGTGACTTTTTGGAGCAGCAGTTGTCCAGGGGCAGCCAGCTTGTGGATTTGGCTCCCCTGGGCTACAACTACACCATCAACTATGCCACCCACACACAGACCAACAAAACTTCCAACTTCTGCCGTAGCGTGCGGCGCCAAGCAGGGCCCCCGTACCCAGTGACCACCGTCATTGCTCCACTGGGCCACACGGGACTTGCCTGCTCTTGCCACCAGTGCCTTGGTGGCGGTGGGACTGGCCCTGTGTCGGGCCGCTACCGCCACTCCATGACCAACCTCCCTGCGTATCCTGTCCCCCAGGCCCCCCACAGGACCACCACTGTCTTCGGGGCCCACCAGACCTTTGCCCCATACAACAAGCCGTCACTCACTGGGGCGAGGTCTGCGCCCAGACTAAACACTACCAACCCCTGGGGTGGGGCACCTCCCCTGCTGGGGAGCCAGCCTCCCTACCGCTCCAGTCTCTCCCACCTGACTTTGCAGCTCCTTCCGCCAGCGTCCTCCACGTCCTCCACTTCCGCTGGAGCCAGGTACCTGTCAGTCATGGGGAGCTGGGACTGCTGGGAATCTCCTGGGGGTGGTGAGTGCAGGGAGATTCCATTTGGGCCTTGTCTGTGGGCTTTCACGTAGATGTCAGCGGGACTCTGTGGGACCCCGCTCCCTCCTCCCAGGCTTCCCACAGACCTACATCTGTGGTCTGTTCTTTGGAGAAAGTGTGGTAGAGCTGTCGACCTCGAACAGTTATCAGCAGTGTTGGACTCTCCACTCCATCTGCTGAGCCAAGTCTTGTGGGGCTTCTGAGCTTCTTACAAATCATTTTAAGGCAAATTTCTAAATCCTTGTAGATTCTGGGAAGGGGCCAGGTGACCTAGTGGGCCTTTCCTTCTCCTGGGAACCCCTGCCCATCCTGTTGTCCCTGGGCGCTCCTCTCCAAGCCTAAGAGCTGGCAGACTGCTAATGCAGCCCTCTTGGTATGGGCCCAGCAAGTTTCAGGAAGGAAGGTTTGGGTACCTTCATTCACCTCTGTGCTGGGACAGGTGGGCGTGTTGCAGCTTGCCTGGCATTGTAAGCCAAGAAGGAAGCCAGCCAGTGGGCTGTTAGTTGAAACGGCCTCCGAGGGGCCTGCCTCCTGGGGTGGGTGTGCACCTTCATTTCCTGCAGCCCCACCAGGAGTGGGGAGGGACGCGTTCACTTGCACGGGCCTCTCTAGGTTTCGGTTGCCCATGCCTAACCTATAGTGGGGCCTCCTCAGTCAAGCCTTCTCTGGCGGGTCTCTTTGAGCCAGAGGGGCATGCTGAGAATTGCAAACACATGGCACCTAAAGGCGGTGATAGAACGTTCTCGACTCCCTAGTGAATGGCAGTAGGAAGAGGTGAAAGTCACCAGTGTATAGTGGCAGGGCAGGCTGGGTCGGTGTAAATACAGAGCAGTGGCTGGGTAAACCTGTGTTTACTGGTGATGGTGAAGTGCTGTCAAGTCAGTCTGACTCAGAGCAACCCTATACTGTATAGGGTTTCCGAGGAGCCCACTGGTGGGTTTGAACTGACCACCATCCTGCAGTGCCACTCTCCTGATGGTGGTGGTGGTGGGCCGTGGAGTCACTTCCGACTCATAGTCACCCTGTATAGGGTTTCCGGGGCTACAGGAAGCAGAAACTACCACTGGTAGTTTCAAACTGCTCACCTTGAGGTTAGCAGCCCAACTCATAACCACTGTGCTACCAGAGTGCCTCTCTTTCCTGATAGCCATTGGAAAAACCATTTGTATGGTCAAAGCTGGTATGTGTGGAATCCATGTGGTTTGAAATTGTAACACACTGGCTGATTTTCTCATGTCCCTGGGAGGTGCGTCACTGGTAAGGTAGCTGCCAAGTTTAAGTAGATTTCCTGGAATTGGAAGTTTATCCCTTTAAGCTCCAAAACTTGTGCTTAATCATGTCTGATGGAAACCTTTCCAAAATGTGTCATGCATGCTCTTGCCCTCTTTAATAGAGGGTGTGATTCTGAGTGTACCATTTTGGTGACTTGGGCTAGTAATTAGAGCCAGCAGTCACCTGCAGCTCAGTGATGTAGTACGGCCTCTGGGTACTCTGCCCTGCACCAAGTGGCCCGAGAAAACTGCTCTCCTGTCATCTACTGTGGCTGTCCTGCCTCTGAGAGCACCCACGCCCATCCACTGTCCATGGACCTGTTTGGGTACGTCTTGGGTTCCAGGCGAGGTCTTGCTCTTTCTTGACTTGCTGTAGGCTCTTGAATCAACTCTCCTCTTTTCCTGTTCTGTTTTGCCTCCTTTAAGATGATCGAGTTGGACTGGTCAGTTTCTGAAGTTTCCATCTGTTCTAATGTGGTTTTCAGGGTTTAGTGAAGGTCCCAGTGGAAGGTGCTTGGCGGCCCTGAGAGCTTTGCTTTAGTTCCTCTGCTCTTTTGGGTCCTGAACAACAATGGGTGTTTGTATTGGGCTCTACATTGAGCCTTTTGGGTTTATTCTCTTACAGCTAACGACATTGACACACAGAAAGGGGACTTGAGTTGCCCAGGCCACTCAGCCTTAGTGGGGAGCTGGCCCCGAAAGCTGCTCCCGAGACACCACGTCTCTGATGCTCCTTGTGCTGTCTTGTCACCAGAGACTTCCAGGCTGGTATGGGCTTACTGGCCAAAATTGGAGATCTTGGGGAGCTGAAGAGCAGCTGGCATCCTTGTCCCTTGCTGGGGACTGTAAATTTAGGAGGCTGGAGTCTTCATGTCTCGTAGTCTTTAAGATTACCTTTGGAAGTACCTTGAGGTGGTCCGGACAGGAAAGCCAGTCGATAGGCCCAGGAACAGGAACAACACAAAAAGCAAGCCAGTTGCCGAGGAGTTGATCCCGGGTGGTGCTGTGGGTTACACATGGACTGCTAACTACAAGGTCAGCAGTTCAAACCCAGCACCCATATCCTGGGAGAACGATGAAGCTGTCTGTTCCCATAAAGTCTGACGGTCTCGGAAGCCCCATGGAGCAGTTCTGCTCTGTCCTGCAGCATCAGAATCGACTGGATCGATGGCAGTGGGTTTGTAGCTTTCACTGGTAAATTTAGGGGGAAGTAGATGACCAAGGCCTTTCTTCTGCCAGCCTCTCACTTAGCAACCAATTACTTAACTGCTTGCACCACCCAGGAGCAAGGGAGGGTTTCTGTTTCATGTGTTATTTGCAAAGATGGGGGTACCCAAGGCAGTGACTAGAGAGAATTCCCAGATAAGGGCACTTTGTAGGACAAATGGTACCCCACACAGGGGGCAGTCTAAGGATGGAGTGGGTAGGGGTCCATCTGGATCAGTGACTTCTTGGCTCCTATCCAGCTCCGAGAGTCTCCATCGTGAACCTGCTGGATCCTTTTGACTGTTGAGTTCCTACTGCTCCCATTTATGGGAGAGGAACTAAGAGAGTCCTGTGGCTAAGTGGCCCACTTTGGAGACCCCTAGATGAATTTAGACATGGCTCCTGGACTCTGGTTTCTGGATGAGATGCCCATTGGAAGCCTCACAGCTTGTATCCTCTCTGTTCTAGTTGTTGGTGGTCCAGCTAGGCCATCCCTCTCACACACACACCTCTCCCTGGTGGTGGAAGACCCCACTTCCCGGTGTTTTAGGGAAGTGGGCCAGTCAGGTACCCCATCTCTCTGGGGACCAGTACCTGGCTGCTGACTAGCCCACTAATTCTTAGGGCATGTGGAGCTGAGCTTAGATCATTCTTCCAGTGACAAGTATCTCCTAGCTCAGGGCGCGTGCTCAGTTCTCCCTGTGGAGTCTGTGTGGGAGGCCTGAGCTGGAGCAGACTGGGGACTGGGCCCAGAGACCAAGGGGAAATGAAGAACACCCGAGGGGCCCGGTGCTGCTTCGATTCCGTCACTTGTCCCCTGCCCCCTCAGTGCCCTGAGTAGAACTGCCCTGCCACATCTGTCTCCCATGGAGCAGCTGGTGGGTTTGACCACCAAGGCACCTGCCTTCACTGAAGCTGAAGAATTGCAAAGCTCACCAGAGGTGATCCACATTCCTTTTTCGTTTTGGTAAATGTAGATACTTACCTGAAGCGAAACCGTTTTTAGAGGAAGTAAAACCTAAGCCCCGGCATTCCTGGGGAGCCGCTTCTCCTGCACCCTAGACAACCCCAGATCCAGTTCCGCTTCCCTCTGAGCCGGGGGAAGTGAGGAGGCCAGAAGCTGCTATTTGGGTAACCTGGCCACACAGGTCATCCCACTTGGTGGGAACACTTACAAGCTTGAAAGAAAACAGTTCATTTGGGTGCTCAGGTACATGTTGGTCTGCTCCAGACACTGTGCCTGGGCCCCAGCAGCTTCAGCCCCAGCTGAGAGTGAACCTTCCTGGTCTGAATGAGAATCGGTGGGTGCTGTGACCTGTGGCTGGTGACACGTAGGACCCGGTGCTGCCTGCAGAGGCCACATGCCAGAACGCGACAGCCGGCAATTTGCTGACAATTTGCTAGCTTTGAGGGTAGCTCAGCAGCCTGAAGCCACCCTCCAGGTCCCCAGAGCACCTTCTCTGTCCCTAGCTCTGGACTGGGTGCTGTCCTGGGGGCGATCCAGTACAGAACTATTGGAAAGGATTTCATAATTCTTGTGTTAACGTCATTGTCTTTAATATGGGCAGGGACTGGGAGGAGGGCTTGGGCACTTCTGCCAACTGTTGTCCAACATCAGGTGCCTTCTTAAACCATAAAGGCATGCACTTGTTACCATCTGTAAAATCAAATGAATTTCTTGAATGTAGACTTCACCACAGTGATAGGAAAGAACACTGTGGGTGGGAAGCTTTAAGCTGTAAAAAAGTTTTTCTGAGCACTCAGTCTCTGAAGACAATCCTACAAGAAGAGCTCACAAGCTTCCTCAAAACGAGGGCATTCTTGGTGGCTTAAAAAAAGGCAAGCCAGTTACTGTCACTTGATTCCGACTCATGGTGACCCATTAAAAACCAGAACCAAAGCTTGCTTTTGAAACTATTTTAGACGTATAGAAAGTTAAAAGTATAGAGCATTTCTGTACATCCCTCACCCAACTTCCCATGTTAACACCTTTTATAACTGTAGGTATTAAACAGTTGAAGTCAGAAAATCAGCATTGGTCCAACACTATTGACAAAAACAGAGGCCTGTTTTGTTTGAAAGTTGTTGCCAGTTTTTCCAGTGTACCCTTCTGTCCCAAGATCTTGTTCAGGGTCTTGTCTAGGATCTCACGTTGCATCCAGATGCCACGTCTCTTCAGTCTCTCCAGTCTGTGGCAGTTCCTCTGTCTTCATCTTCCAGAACCTTGACAAGTTCAGTGCCAGGCCTGAAGGCCCACAATCTCAGGGGTTCACAGATTTATTCTTCATAGTTTTTTATTTTAACTTGTGAATTGAGTAAAGGTTTACAGAGCAGATCAATTTTACATTCAGCAAACCTTACTATACTTTGCTTCATTACAATGATTGCAGTCCCCTCCGTGTACCATCACTTAACAGTATTTACACGTACCATCAGTTAACAGTATTTACCTCTG